TGCGGCCCGGGTTCGATCCTCAGCACCACATACAAACAAATGTGTTGTGTCCACCGAAAACTAAAAAATAAACATTAAAAATTCTCTCTCTCTCTCTCTCTCTCTCTCTCTCTCTTTAAAAAAAAAAAAAGAAGGAAGGCTGAGGATAGAGGATCACAAGTTTGAGGCTACCTGGACAACTTAGTAGACTCTGTCTCAAAATTAAAAAATAAACAAAAAAAGGGCCATGAATGTAGCTTGGTACAGGCTGTATGTAGTACAGGCTGTGGTAGAGTGCTTGACTAGTCTGTGGTAGGTCCTTCAATTCCCAGTATCACCTAAAGAAGAAAAAAAAAAGAAAGAAAGAAAGGAAGGAAGGAAGGAAGGAAAGAGAAGAGAAGAGAATGAAGCCATTTATTTCCAGGATAGTATTGCTTGGTGTAATAGAATACGGAAATTGCTAGTCTGAAAAAAAAAAATGTGTCGAAAACTGTGACAAATTTCTTGTACTGTATAAATGTTACAGTTGTATTGCTTATTCTGTTTTAAATTGATAAAACTTCCAAAATCAAAACAGTGTGGGCTTATTTTAGATACTGTTACACCAGAGGTTACCAGACATCTGTCATGATGTTTATCTTTGGGAAACTAAAGTTCATGTATTGCAAATAGACACCATCATTCTAATTTAGATTAAGGTATGTGTCTAACCAGTGCTGATTTTTAAATTTTATTTTAGTTGTAGATGGACACAATATCTTTGTTTATTAGTATATTTTTATGTGGTGCTGAGGATTGAACACAGTGCCTCACACATGTGAGGCAAGTGCTGTACCATTGAGCTACCGCCCCAGCCCCAGTACTGATTTTTGAAGGCTTTGGAGTTGTAATTCGTAACAGTAATCATAGTATCAAACTATCCCTCATTTCATTTGGAGAAAAAGTAATGATTTTCTCAAATACATTTGTCACTTCCTTAAAAACAATTTTTTCTCTTCATGCTTTTCCTACTGAGCAAGAGGTTCATGTCTACTGGGGATAATAGAAATCTCCACTGGGTAGGAAATTAACAATAAAAGTAAGTTAATAAGTCTTTATTAGGTACCTATAATTGGAATAGATGCTGTGGAGAGAAAAAGGAAAATAAAGAGCTGTCCCTGCCCTTGGGGAAAGCTACAATCTAGTTAAAAGACAGTAATGTGACTTGTGGTTTTGTAGACTCAGTTCTAATTTTATTCAAACCATGTTCCTTAAACCATTACTGATGTAGTGAAAGATTTACATAATGTAATATGTAAGGGTTTTATTTGTTCTCTTCCACAATACCAAAATTTAAAAGAACATATTTGAATTGATATCTAATGGAGTTTTAATGTCCATTTCACTTTTTTAATATGAAAAGTTATTTTAAACATTTTCATTAGGCATTGAATATGAAATTTGAAATAGTATTGGTGATGTTAAGAAAATTGTGGTATGAGCTTGAAGTTGGTTAGTGATACTTCATGCATATTGAAGTTTCTATAAATAATAATAAAACTGTAGCAGGCATTTTTGGGGGGAGATATGAATTTAAACACTATTCAACGCATATCCTTTTTGTGTGTCTTATAATTTTAGTAAATATTTTTATTTTGAGTTGTTCTTTTTTAAAATAATTTTTTTAGTTGTCAATGGACCTTTATTTTACTTTTTTATATGTGGTGCTGAGAATTGAACTCTGTGCCTCACACACGCTAGGCAAGTACTCTACCACTAAGCTACAACCCCAGCCCATCTTTTGGGTTGTTCTTTATGTAGTAAATTGAAGGCAGGTGAAATTATCATTTAAAGAGGAAGTAAATGAAAGCTCATTTTGATCTTCAGACCATATTTAAAGAATATTACAATTATATGAGATTACTTAATATGTTGCTATTCTACTGATGCATGTAAATTATAATGAGAAATAATAAACATTTAAATACAGGTCTTAAAAGCATTTCTTTATAAATACAATTTACTCCTTAGAAATTTAGGTTCTTGACGGCTAGGTTGGTGCTTGCCTATAATCTCAGTTACTCTGGAAGCTGAGGCAGGAAAATCAAATTTGAAAATAAAAAAAAATGAAATGGACATTAAAACTCCATTAGATAACAATTCAAATACATTCTTTTATAATTTTGGTATTGGGGAAGAGAACAAATAACATCCTTACATATGACATTATATAAATCTTTTACTACAGCCTTGGCAATTTAGGGAGACCCTGTCTCAAAAAACAAAAAGGAAGGGACTGGGTATATAGTTCAGTGGTAGAGTACTTCTGAGTTCAATCCTCACTACCATCTCCCCTTCCCTCCTAATTTCAGATTCTTGAAAATTTTTCATCAATGAAAATTAGGTGCATTCTAATTTGGCCCTTGAAATTTTTCTATGCATAATAGTTTAAATTAGTAAGATGAAATCATGTCATATTTATCATGATATGTTATTATCTTTATATAAATTTTCTTTTAATTGAATTGAATTAAATTTTCTACCAGATTTGTGGACCCCCAAAGAAGGAAAGTACAGGTTAAGGAAAGAAAGAAAGAAAGGTGGGGGAACCCCACAAACTTAAAGAATAATTAGAATTCACTACACATACAATAGTATTTTAGTTTTAAACTGTTAGTCCTATAAATTAGAACCTATTAAATAAAAAGTTTAAGTGAGTTTGCTAAACTCTAGTTCATTACATTTATGTAATCATTTATTGCCATTGATATCATCTCTATTTATTAAAAACCTGAAACTTATGCCCATGGAGAAGGTTGACTTTTGTTAGTATTTTGACTTAGCTGCTAAAAGATACTTTCTTCTTAACTCTTAAGTTAAAGCATTGGTATATAATCCTATTGAAATGATGTATTAAGTTGACTGATTAAAAATAGTCGTATAGTCACAACTTTTCTTTCTCCTAGGAATTAGAGATTTAAATCTCTGAAAACATTAATGTGTGTGGGATGGTTATGATAGTCCAGCTGCCTTTGTGTGTGTTTCATTTAAATGTAAATTTATCTTACAGACTCTAAAGATGAGCTCAGAAGGTAGAGAATTTTAATGTGAATAGTCATTTTCTTTGTTTTTCATGAATACCAAAATCCCTGTTTTACACTAAAGAAAGAAAAAAAAACTTATTAAACAGCCAGCACTCAACTGCTTTTTTTTTTTTTAAGGTTTTTAATGGATTATCAATTTTCTCTCATTAGCAGTATTTCTAAGATTACATAATTCCATGAAAAGAAAACTAATTTATACACTATAAAAGCACGTATGTCAAGAATTAAACAATGTCCAGTGTGATGCTAGGTATTATTTTACAGTACTTTGTAAAAGCAAACAGTATTGTTTTAGCCAGAAGTCAGCTTGTAGAACTATATTACAAATAATTAAATCTTAGATGTTAAGAAATTAACTATTGAAGGTAGCAAAAGTCCATTGACATGTATGTATGACACGTATCTATATGCCGTGTATATAGTTAGACTGATACATAGTTTAATCATTAATTAAAATATCTAATACTATAATTATAAAACTTCCAGGAACAGTTTTTGAGAACAAGTTTTCAAGGAAGTTTCCATTTATCACTATACTCTTTAAGACAGAAGATCAAGATTCCAAGCTCCGTATTTTTGCTTCATTTTATCCTCACTGTTGTCTCAAATAAGCTACTATGACTGTTCTCCCAAGGATGGTTACCTTCGGTTGTCTTTAGCAATCTTTTCTACTTCTCTACAATCAAAGAAGTCATTTTTTAGAGTGGCCATTGATTGCATATTTTGAACTCATTTTTGTCTGTTGTTATTGGGTTACCAGCCTGTGATTAACTTGTGCTATAAAAACAAACAAATAGACCAAAACCTGTTTGATCTACCCTAACCTTTCCATATGTAAATTTTGGAAAAGTGACACTGTAGCATGCCAATAAAATGTACTCCTGCCTTGACATTTCCAGAGTAATTATAAAAAGGATTATAAAGTTTACTGAAGGGATTGTTATTTGTTGGTTGATAAAATTTACTTAAGCCACCTAAATGTAAATATTTCCCAAGCAACCCCTATGGAGTCAAGGGTTTCCTTTAAAGAAAAAAAAAATAACATTTGTTTATTCTAAATATCTGTTTTTCACAAGAAAAGTAAAGGAGTGTTTTCCAAACATTTTTAAAAGGTCTTGAATTTTTATTTATGCCACTTTTTAATATACAAGTTTCCATCAAATACTTGCAGATTTAAGACATAACTGCATATTTTGTTCTAAGTAATAGTTGTCATTTAGAATTTGAAACAGTTTTACAGTAACCAGATGGGGTATGAAATGTGTATTCATAGTACTTTCTAATTTACAGATTCTAGGATATGAGGTCAGACACATTGGTTTATAATCAAAATAAGGGATTCGTTTTCTTCTGTTTTCTTTGTAATTATAGTGAAATAAAGAGGAGGCATATTCTTTGAGAACAGGAATATAAGTACCATTCTTAAAAGTAACCCTCCAATCAAACAAATCTCTTTTTTGTTCCTTTTCCAGTTCTCTCCCCATCCTTTAAACTCCTGAGCTTGGAGAAAGTGAACTCTAAAAACCAGTCTTTCTCTATGTGAATGCCAAACCTTGTGGAGAATTTGTGTGGTGGAGTTTCTCTCATCTCAGGTACAGTATGTGAATACTTTGTAAAAATTCTATGCTGCCCTGGTTACACTTTTACTTTCCCAGTTACTTTGATGGTTAGTCAAAGAAAACTAATAATGAAGCTCATTTCATTATTTGAGTCAAAACCTTATTAGTCTAAGACACATATTTTGTAACAAAAATTTTGTTTCTTAATACCATTGGGAAATGAATATTCATATTTATTACAGTTATTTTTGTTGGGAGGTTGTCATTGATAGTTGTAAAAGTGTTTCTTAGGTTACAAATGGTGAGCCCCTTTGGAAGATGATGACCTAGTGATATCAACTTGCAGAAAATTATTGTGATAAATCAGCTTTCTCTGGGTTTATTTCTATTTTGTGTCATGGTTTGAGAAAAATCATAGATGAGAACAAATTAGCATGAGTATTTTTAATCATTCCATCTGGTAAAAACTTTATGCAAGAAACAGGATAGTTTTTTAGAGGTATTTTCCTTTTAATAACTGCTACATAGCAACTTCCTCATTTAACTTTTTACAAGGACATTCTGTAACATATGGTGGTGCTTAAGTGGGTGGCCTAGGTAATTGTAAAAGGTTTATACTTCACACTCAGGGTTGTTACCTGGTAACTAAAAATGCTATCTGAGTCTATTTTTGGAGTGCCAGGGTGAGTGGGGGATGGGGAGAAAGAAACTTGAATCAGTGACCATCTGGCCCAGATTTGGCTGATTTCCTGTGCACTGCCCTTTGTTTCAACCAGACAATGGATTGTTCCTTTTACAGATAAGAATTCGGTTGATGACTTTGTGCTGAATCAGCAGGTTTGGTTTGGGATTGTAAGCATAGACTCATATTGAAGAGCTTTTTATTGTTCTGAGGTCACTTTCCTTGTCTTTGTTAGTTACAAGGTATTTTTTAAGGTTCCTTTTTATGATATAGTGGTGGTTTTTTTCAGATGCATTAAATAAAATAATTGGAAATGCAGCTTTCTAGTTTGGTATTACCTGCCTTTAAAACATTGAAAATTTCCTGTCTTTAGTGTCCAAAATTAATACCTCCCTGATTATGATTTTTTGATGAGTTTATATAGAATCTCTTCTTGTCTGAACTTGAATTTTTCATCTGAAACTTTAATGATTTAAATTTAATGTTGTCCTAAACCTAAGAAAAGCTTTTATGATGTGGTTATTTAAATAGTAACTTTTCTGTGACATCTGTTGCCATATATTTGCAAATTACATTTTAGGAAGCTATTTTCCTTACTTTAAAAGCTGCCTAACACTGTTTTTTTTTTTTCCTTAAAAAAAAAAAATACTGACTAGAAGTAGGGAATTTTGGTGGCCTAGCATTCCAAGTAAGTCAACCATCAATTTTTATAGGTTATCTCAGAAGCAATAGAGATCAGAGGATTTTTAATGCCACTCTACAGAAGACAAGAGCAAAATTCAGTGCTACCATCTTGCTATGTGGCCAGAATTATGATCATTTTTACTTCTGAAGTGATAGGAGAATTGTTGGTAGATTTTAAGCTGAACTTCTAGCTTAACTCTCATCTCCTTGTAGCTGAGTTGTCACTTAACACTCCAGTACAGAATTTTCTGCAGACCACTTTTTCTAAAACCACTTATAACTAAAATCCAGCATCTGATCAGAACTGGCTGCTTTCAATGAAATCTAATCACAAGTTCTTTTGTGTTGATAAAGGTATGCTCTTTAAGTAGAATCAAGGGGCCTGATCATAAGAAAAAAAGCTTGATCGTTAGTTCCTCGGGGATCTAATTATGTAGCAGATGGGACCACACGGCACAGTTCAGTGTCATTTGGTGTAATTAATTTTAGGTTCACATCCAGCAAAAGCAAATACAAGAAATGACACAAAATCTTAGTTTGCATCCATTTGGGACACTGCCTATTTATTTCTATGTTGTAGTTCTCCTCTTGGATTTCTTCAATAGATTGGTCTATTTGATACTAATCAGGCCATTGCATGTTTAGCTTAAATGCATGGGTGTTTTGGATACATGCATGTCATGAATGTTAGTTGGAGTAGAATATTTAGATTTAGAGAACTAGTTAGTTAAATAGTTGAATGAGGCAGAGTTAGAAGCTCCAACCACATGAAGACAAGTTCTACTTTATCTTCCTCCCTGCTTTAATCAGAGACTGGTTCAGGGAACTAGTTTGAGGTGGAGGGAAAGGTTTTATCCTTTATTCTCCCCTTCCCCCTCCTGTTCACCCTTCACCCCCCAACCTCTGACTCTCCTTCAAATCTCACTGAGGAATTATGGTCTCTACAGAGGCTTGGTTGCAGATGCCCGGAAAGTTTACACTGCAGAGAGTTGTTTTGTTTGGCATAGCTAATCAGGAGCCAGGCTGGAATTGCTCATAGCTGTCATTCAGGTTTTGTTTCAAAGTCCAAGGACCTGCTGGGAAAAACAAAAAGCTAATGAAAGCTGACTGTATTTAGGCCTCAAATCTGTGGAATCTGAAATGATGTCCTGACAGTGTATTCTTATTCTTCCACATTCTTGCTGTTACTAAGGTAACAGATTTTTAGAGGCTTTTCATCTTCATTGTCAAGTATTTGCTACACTTTTTGTTGTTTTTCAGATTAGAGCAATTCAGATTATCTCCTTTTGAGATGAAGGAAAAAGAGAAAATAATGGAAATAAAATGTCTGAATCAATTACCCTGACTGCTAATAAGATGTGTTTTTTTTTTTAATGCCGTAAAATCCTTAGAGTAATAACAAATATTAAAACTTAGGGCAAGATCAACTTCCTCATGTTTGGGAGTACTATGTATGTGAAATTTCCATTCTGTAATACGTAATAGGAAGTGTTCATATAATCGCCAAAGAGTACATCGTAAGAGAAAAGGGTATGTGGTGAAATACCCTGTCTTTACATTTTTTTCTTCTTGACTGAGAAGCCAAATGATGTAAAAAAAAAAAAGTGATGTGCTTGAATTCTATGTATAAATGATAAAATCAAGTAGTATGACAAAATGAATTATGATAAACATGTTTACTGGGAAAAAAAAACTTGTCTTTTTAATATTTGCTTTCAGAGAATGTGTTGCCTGGGTAGATTAGATTAGCATTCATCTATAGGAAAATGCTGTAGTTTTTACAGTCTGTGTGGGGCCCATATTATCTGTGGTTTGACAAATAATAAAGAGAAGATAATTTTGGCAGAGGAGGTGTTCTTTGGGTTGGCTTTAGATTTGAGAATCCCCAGGGATGTGCTTGAATAGTGTTATAACCTTTACAAATCTTCTTGTCAAGAGTTGACTCATTGGAAGATAACACTGTTTTTTTTCACAGATTTATCAAACATCTTCATCAAGCACTCTTTCCCCTGTGGCAAGGACTAGAATATTGAAATAACCTAGCTTTAGTACTGATCAGATCACTTCACTAATTTCATCCCAACACAATAAAAGCCTACATTCATGGAGATAAGATCTAGCTTAATTTTCTTTGGAGACACAAATAAGAGTGAGCAGCTGGTTGAATGAGAAAGAACCCAGAAGAGTCTGGAAGAGAAGTGCCCAAAGTGTATCAGAAGGCCTTCGTTTTAATTTCTGTATCTTTGTCCATGCTGGTTTCCTAGCCTGGAATTTTGTCCTCTCTCCTCTCCACTCAGCTAAATCCAGTGCTTCTCAAGGTCCAGCTCAGGGCCTTCTTCATTCACTGAACCCTCTTCAACTAGTTCTGGTGTCCAGAGAGAGAATTTGTATCCTCAGGTGATCGAAATAGCTAAAGAATTGTGTTCAGATATAGTTTTGCTTTTTTTCTTGGCGGGGGCGGGCGGGGGTGCAGAAAATGATGAGGATGGGGAGACATAAGGGAAAATAACAGAAAAGGAAAGGATCATTTGAAATGGGCAAGTTTAATCCAGAAAAGATTTCAAAAGAGACAGGACAGTTGTCTTGAAGGGCTGATGTGTGCAGCTGGAATTAGATTGACTCTAATTACCTTTAAAGCAGTGGTTTTCAAATTGTGCTCTGCAGAGCTGCAGGGATTTTGTGATGATCCTTGGGTTGCAGGGGAAAAGAGAGGACTGAGGGACATGCTGAGTGCCCCCTGCAGCTGCCAACAGAAGAGTTTCACTTTTAACTGCTTTCTGTTTTGGGGTTTTGCCTAATATTTCTTTTAAAGACATGTTGCACTGCTTTAAAAAAAAAAATGAAGTTCTAACAATCACTGCCATATAGAATAATAGGCGAGAGTTTTGTTTCAAATCAGGATAAAATGTTCTAACAGTAAGAGACTTTGAAAAAAATTAAATGAACTGCTTGGTGAGATGACTTCTACATTCAGTCAGAAGTTTAATGACCCGGACAACGATGTTGGAAGACTTCTGTTTGGGGGAAAGGTTGAGTTGGGACAGTCTGTCTAAAAGAGTTCTAAAATTGTGGAGTAGATGTCTTCTCTTACTGTCAGTATCAGATAATTCGGCACCTAACAGTTCTCCAGTGGGTTTTGGAGTAAATTCTTCTTCCCATTAAATCATGAGGTTCCAGAAAGAAGGAACACTGTTTTCACTGCTTTTGGATTCTTCAGATCCTAATGCAGATGTGGGGGCCCAGGAAAGACCTGTTGGTACAAGAAATGACTGCAAGAAACACTTGCTTGACTGCCTTGTGACCCCCATCCAACATGAAGGATGATAAGGGAAGGTATTTGCAGGAATTTTTTTCTGCTATTGCCTTCTGCCCTTCAGGAATAGTAGAAATGACAAAGCAGATTTAAGATAAGCACACACACCCCGCTTTTCTTTTTTTGGCCAGGAGGCCAGATTACTACTGAAAAAATTGTACATGGCTCCCTGAACCTAATAGATAAAAAGCTGAGTCTGGAAATCTTGGCTTTCCATACAAATTGAGAAACCGAGGCACACACAGAAGGAGGAAGTGACTGAGATTCCCTGGCATTCCAAGTGCAGAAAAGGGAATGCATTATAAAAGGATTTCATTGGCGACCTGGACTTCAGGGCATTTTGCCTCATGATTC